AATATACTGAAAAAAGAGTTGTTAAGGCGGCTTCACGACTGATCTTTTCGAGGTCTACAAGCCTGACCTGCCCTACCGGCCGCACCGCTACCACACATCAACCCTTCTATGACCCTGTAGCCCCTCATCAACGATGGGTGGAGGTAGCTGTTGCGTCTACAGAAGGACACTCGTCTCTTTCTGCTGTACTTCTGTCTCTCTCTCCCGCACTCTCTCCTCCCTTTTAGTATTTTACCTAGACCCAAAAGGGGTAAAAACATTTTTCTTACGCTGTCTCTTATAACGTTCGGAAATCCAGTTGAAAAATGCGTAATTTCCCAACCCCCAAAAAACAACATGCTGCCTGCAAAAACGTTTCTTATAACGAATCGGTTTTTCTTTTGGAGTTGGTGCCTCTTTGCGGCGGCGTTCGTATTTTCAAACGCGTGCACTGCTGTTGTGCCGCACGGGCGCGGGAATTTGAACACACGCGGGCGGAACAGACGTAGCTCTCAGACTCCCAGCACGCCGGTGTACAGACCTCCCACGCCATGCCGGCTACGTAATCTCTGCTGCTAGACAAGATCCCCCTGTTGACGGTGGCTTTGGAGTTGTTTAGTTCCGGAATCGGCGATGGATTGACGATGAAGGAAGTTGTCAGGCAGCTGCAGACGGTCGCTCTCTGCTATACCGCGATGGGAGTCAAGAGGAACGCAGGAGAGATAGACAGCAAGAAGAGAGAGGCGCTGCTACTCAAGGCATACAAGGACGACGTCGTGCCTGGCTTTCTGAAATGGTTGTCGGAGGAGGGTGATTGTACAACCCCGCCCTGGCTGACGATGGAGATGATGGGCCGGGTTGCTGTACATACATGTAGGCACCAATGGCACAGGAACGCCGGTGCGGAAGAGCAAGGGGAAAGAGAAACAGCAGCAACCGAAAGGTAAGCATCAAGGTACCAAGGGCGCAGGTTTCAACTGCAGAGTGCTAATCGTAGAGAACTTTACCCTGAGTGTAACGCGCGACATTCGCGAGATCATACCGTCGTTAGCTGTACGACCTTCATCTGCCGCCATTTAACTGTAGGTTTACGTCACGAACGCCCCACCATCTGTTGCCACTTTGTTACAAGGAACCAACACCGTGAACCCAACAGCCGTCCATGCCGCTGATGTACTCTTGCAGTCTACTGTGTGCTGAGTGAACTGTCCTGTTAGGGTAGATTGAGCCCGAGGTTGCTCGTTCGCATCGGCGATTGTTCGTACATCCTCCGCGTGGTGCAAGGTAAAAGTACAAGGGTCCAGCAGTGTAGTCTATGTTGATCATTCAGCTGGGCAACGATTTGCTGAGTTGCCCGAGGTACAACATGTGACACTCAGCCATACGAGCAGTAGGATTCCTGTCTCAGCATTGCTGTTCGCACCGTTGCCCCACGCATTTGCCAGATGAAGAACCAAAGCTGTACAAGGACGGGAAGAAGATCTGGGCAAGGTACCTGGATGCCTTCCGCGACATCAGGAAGGACGCCAACCCCGTGTACGACAAGTAAGTTGCTCGGGTCTGTTTTGAACAATATTTGTGTGTGCACATACTATCGGTAGTTGAAGGTGTGTGTTTCATTATTTTCACCGCGATTGTGTGTAGATATGTACACTGCTACTCTTCCGCCGGCGTGAACACAGCAGAGCTCAGGCGCGCGGCAGACTATCTGCGTCGAACGATCCAGTTTTGTTGTATGCACATGACGTGGGGAAAAATAAGCGGGTGGTACCGCTGACAAACGCGGAAGCGACGGTGGTGGTATGCTACAGAAGAAGTGATGCGCTGACGCAAGTGACTGACCAGGAGTTGTTTTTTTTCTCGCACTCGTGTGCCTCACCGTTGGGCACTTTGATTCTCCCGCATACCCCTGAGCGAAAACTCCAACATACGCGTGCGCTGGGTTTTCGATGTGCCTGATATGTAAGCGCGACAAGGCGGCGATAGATACGCTGGTGGACGGGGTAGCAGGAGGAGGGCGGATGATCAAGGCGACAATCTGTGAACATCCGTAGTTTAGAGTAGCCTGTCGGGAAATTGTTGTGTTTTTCAAAGAGCTCCCACCCGTGGCGTAAAACAGAAACAACTCATCTCGACATAGATTTGGTTCGCCCCCCGCATGATCACTCCGTCCCCAACAGTACCTCGGGCCTGCGCTTTGCCCCGCACTTTTGCTGTTCTACGACGATCTGAACCATATAGCTGCGGCTCAATTGACGACTGATTTCGTTCGGTCTCTTCGTGTCTGGTCATGGGAAGAACCCTCCAAACATGCTTGAAGTTTCTCCTTCTCCCCGAATAATGTAGCTCAAGGGCAACAAAAATGGCTCAGGATTGTTTGACTCAAGGGATCATGTCTTCAGCTGTGCCCATGCTGTCGTAGATGCTACCCCTTCTGCCCCACACGTATCGTACAACAACTGCCCTTTTGTGCCGTCAGATCGACTCCATCCTTTTTGATGAACCCCCTCCCAAGGCCAACTCGAAGCAGAGTATTAAATGTATCAATGGCGTGCTGCCTTGGCGTGGATGCGCGGATCTCTATCTTACAGATGGTGGGGTAAGAAGTTGGCGACCATGATCATTCTTTTTATGTCCGGTGTCGTGTTCTGAAGTTCGTCCATGGGTTCCCGTCGGTTCGCTGATTTTCTTTCTTCGCCCAGAACCATCGGGGACCAACCGGGCGGGACCCCTCCATCTGGAGAGCAGTATGCCGACCAGCTTGACGAGTTACTGCAGGCGTTGTGGGAATACCAATGCAGAGAAAAAAATAAAACCGTGGAAGTGACCGCGGAGGAGAAGGAATTCTTGCGCGCACGTGGCCCCTCGGCGGCGAAGGGCAAGGGTACGGGAAGCGGTTCCTCGGCCGTCGACGTAGACCTCTCTTCCACGGACGGGGAGGTCGTACAAGGTACGGAGAAGGAGGGAGGGGGTGCGGACGCGGGGAAGGATGAGGAGGTGGCGGCGGGGGCGGGGAGGGCGGCGGGTTCTGAGGGAATCGACGGTTCTGGCGACGGTGGCGCGGGACGGGAAGGGCAGCCCATGGAACAGGAGCAGCCGAAAACCCCAGGAGAAGAAGACGACGGCGGCTCTGAACCGGAGTCAGTCGTCCAATATCCCGAGAGGCCTCCCAATTGGATGCCCTACTATTTTCTCACCTTTTGCTTCTTTGGTAGGCCCAGCAACAGCGAGGACACGGACCTTGCAATGAAAGCTGGATCTGGCCCCTCTGGAGATTCTCGTCCGCGGAAGAAAAATAAAGCTTCTTTGGGCTCGTCCAGCGACGGGGGGAGTGGGAGCGAGGGGGGTGCATCGGACCCCGCCGCGAACTTGGGCAGGGCCGGCGTTAAGCAGTTCGTCGGTGCCGGGGAGGCGCAGAGTCGGGCCCAGGTTAAAAAGGCAATGGCAAAGGACGCAGCCCAACAGTCGGCGGAGACCATACGAAGGGAGGGACTGGAGTTGGCAAAGCAGCAGGCCGAGATATCGAGGTCGGTGGCTAAAGCAGTGGCGCAGGTGGCTGCCGATGTGCAAAGAGGCAGGGAGCTGAGCGAACAGGAGGCTGGCCGCAAGCGCAAGCTGGAAGAAGAGGAAGCATGCCGGAAGCGCAAGGCTCAAGCGAAGGACGATCTGAAAGGCGAACTGGACCGTCTCGATCCAGACGACGAGGACAACACCGCACGGCGCGCGCAAATCAAGCGGGATCTTGCTAAGCTGTACAGAACCCCTGTCAGCAAATTTACTGCTGATGCTGCCACCTCCAACCCAACGAGCACGCCGGCCGTGGCGCCGGCCAATGCGTCAGGCTTGCCGGCGACGTCGTCGGGTGTGGCATCTCCGGTTGCGGTGACAGCGGTATCGGAGACGCCGGCAGCGGCAGCGGCGGCAATGACGACGGCTTCTCCCGCTCTGTCCGGCTTTCCTGGTGCTCCCGCTCTGCCCGGCTTTCCTGGTGCTAGTGGTGGAGTTGTCGGGGCAGTACCGAGTGCAGGTTCGGGGGACGGTGGTGGCGGGGGTGGATATTCGCCTGGTTGGATCAACATCACTAGCATATAGACCTTTTCACCCATGATGCGTGGAACCAGGTGAACGTTCGCATTATTTTTTTTTTTTGCGAAGAAGTTGGATGCGGCCGCAGTTGTTTGTCCTTTTCTTGCAGCGTTTTTTTTTTACTCTCGGGGGCCTGCAGCAAGCAAGTGTCGTGATTGCTGTAGCTCTTTCTCTACTTTCATTTTTTTGTTGTGCTGTGTGCTTAGCGGAAGGTGTTGTTCTGTACGGGCAGCACCTCACCGCCACACACCCTTCGTCACAGCAACGCTCGACCTCTCTTTGTGTTTTTTTTTTGCGAGCGGCCAACGTATGGTGGGGAGCAGGTAGCACCAGCTGAAAGTGGGGGGCGGTAGGGGTGGGCATAGATTCAACCCGTGGATTCAACCCGTGGGTAATTATGGGTGGCAGCAGCAGCCGCCCTTGATTCTGTTACTTGTTTTTCCTGAGTCTGTCTGCAACCAAGAGTGGTGAGTGCTGCAAGCTGCCCTTTTTTTGTAGGGGGAGGTTTGAGCGTTTCGAGGAGGGGTGTTACGGAGTTCCGGATGCATGCGACTCCCCTCCCCCTCCCGATATCCTCACTCCACCATTCTTTTTTTTTTTTGCCGATGATCGATACTTACTTCCAGGGGTTGAGTGTTGCCCAGAAGCGGAGTCTGCACATCTCTTCCAGGAGCTGCACAAATGAATCCGGACAACATCGTTTTTGTTTTTTTTCGATCCCAACGGAAACGCTGGGCCAATTACAGCAGCTATGACACGTCACAACAACGTCTACACTAGCTGGTGTGTCTTGCCCGCGAATGGCGGGGGGGGAGACGTGGTGCTGATGGAGGCAGGGACCGATCACCGATGGGCAATTGTGCCATCCTACTTGGTCTACACTTTTTCCCCTATCCTATCTATCGTATCGGTGTCGCCCATCGCAAACACCGGGGGAGGGGAGTTCACAAACACGCGTGGTACTTCTGGAAGGACCAACGAACCGACAACGGGCTATCATGTACGCGAGTCCTCGACGGGTGATTTACTACCTCCTATTCCCTACCCCCTCTCCGAGCGGCCGACCCGAAACACCCCATCGTACAAATTGGGTCCAAGGAAATAAAGGAACAAACTATCAAATCCACCAAAGCAACTTAGCGCGAGCGAGAAAGTGCACAACAAGAGACAGCTTGGTTTCTTTTGTTTCACACACCCACCCTCTACAGTAGGTCTAACCTCTCCCTAAAGACGACACAAAAATATGTTCCCCATGACCTCAGCATGGCGGCCGCGTGTTGTGTGACTGTGAGTGCGACATCTTGTTGCAGCATTGTCTGACTAACAACTACGGAACATCTAAGAGAGCCACGCGATGTCGTTCTTGCTCTTGCGGTAGACGAAGCTCGCGATCAACTGCTTCCTCCGTGTGTTGAACCCAGACTCGACCTCGACGTCCTCCGTCGAGGCCGACGAGCCCTTCGCTCCAACCGAGCTCAAGTCCAGCGATGGGTTGTGCTCCCATGCGTTGTGGAGCCCGGCGTTCCCTGCCCAGTTGGGCTCCTCCTCCATCTCGCTCTTGTTGTCGTAGCTGTGAAGCATGTTGTGCAGGATACAGCACGTGAAAAAGACGTTGTCAATGTCTTCCTGCTTGTGGTACGGGATGCTCAGCTTCAGGATCCGAAAACGACCCTTAACGATGCCGAAGAAGCACTCCACGTCCTTCCGCACGCTCTCCAGCCGCTTGGAGAAGGCCAGGTCGTTCTGGTCAATCGGGTACTTGGAGGGAGGGATCAAGGTGACCCACTAACATGAGTGGGGCGAGAGAGGCGGGGAGAGCGCAAAACATACGGGGTTGAGAAAGCGGTGTGAGTGAGGGCGTCAACCGGCAGGGTCTAGTAATGCAGAGGTTACAAAGGTGACGTTGTGACGCCGCAGTTTGCGAAAGGAGGAAACCTTGCCACGAACATTCATATATTCGGCATTTTTTCATCGAACCAGAATCGTTTTCTGCCCCGCGTGTGGCTCCGCTGCACGTGCACGACCTGCCTTTCAGCTTCGGCGTTCTCCCCACATGACCGCTTTCCAGCACAGACAAGGCTCGACTTCCAGCACATTGAAACTTTGGGGGTGGGGGGTGGGGGGGGGTCGTTTGTCTCATATATACCACTGTACTGCTAGGGGTGATCAACACTCTGAGGCGCAATGGGAGAGCGAGAGAGAGAAAGAGAGTGAGAGGGAGCATGCGTGGACCCCTACACCCCCCCAGCGCCCCGAGCCCCGTGGATCAACCATGTACCCAATCCGGGATAACGGTTCCTATCTGCGACAACACACGAACACCCTTATCATTATTTTTCTGGCAGGTGACAAACCACGGTGGGCACGTACACCCGGACATATTTTACAGCAGCAACTGAAAAGACGACCAAACAAAACCTACGCGCCTCCGTCTACGTTTTTCTCTCTCTATTGTACCCGTCTATTTCTCTTGTCTTGTAGTTGCATGCTGAACGATGCCATGAGTTCTCACCTTGTGGTATCCGTTGTCCACGAGCAGGTAGCACCCCTTGAGCTGGTAAGGTGTCCCATCCGCCTCGTACACGGTGAACTCCTTTTCGGAGTAGATGGGGTCCTCCCGAATCTTGGTGACTGCCGTGTCGTACCGGATGATGCTCTTGTCGTTAGTCGATCCCGTGAACCCCGGCGTTACTGCAAGTACCCGTTTCGTGTGGTCTACGGTAACTTGATACGCGACAGTCGGGTACCCTTCCTTGCCCGTATAAGACCGGGCTTGGTTGTAAGGGCACATACCCCACGGGATGTGGGTAACATCCGTAGAACCGGTGGCGCCAGAAAATCCCAGGCGATCGTACTGGGTCATGACCTTCTTTTGGTAATCTCCGGTCGGTAGAAAGATGTGCTCCGCGTACATCTCCCTCGCGAAGTACCGGGTGAAGCGGTGAAACGTTGCTGCCGCCGTCTGCATGCTAATGAAAGACATGTGGTAGATGTCTGCGAAGCAGTTCCCCCTCGCTAGTATCTGGAGACAGGCCAGCACCTGTAGGAAAACAGGCGCCCAACGTAGGTTTCGGGGCAAGCAGTTGGAGTATTTTGTTTCAACGCTACAGGATCTACTGCCTTGCCATGTAAAAACCTCTTCGCGCGACAGGCTTTCTTTCCAACCTGCAATATTGTTGTACATACACGAGGGGTTGTGGCTCAGCTTTTAAACTGCTTGGCACGCGGACAAAAACAGCCGCAGCACATGACGTTCCTGGCAGCCATATGCACGAGTGACGGCAGTAGTAGCCTACACTACAGCAGTGCTAACATCATTGTTCGTACAGGCTGCTGTATAATTTTCGTGCTTTGCAAAATTACGGGACGCAGAGCGCGGGGCAACAACAACACAACGACATCACGAACTACAGCCAAAACCTTCACGGGGCTAAGTCAATAGGAGTGTAGCACGTGGTAGATGAGGCGGTCGTTGCTGTGTCGATGTCGGGAGTCATGACATCTGTTTGCTTGTCCGAACGAGAAGATTTGCGCGTGGATGCTGTAGCTTGCTGCCGAGTGCAGGGCGTAGTCGCCTGCTGCTACCTTGGCCCAAAGGGGTGTGGTATCTTGTGTCGCCTACGGTAGCTTGTGCGCACAGCAGCACTAAATGTTCACCTTTAATTGCACGGGGATACCCCGACGTCCGGACGCATCTTGCTTCCCAGTCGGGAACCAATCCCTCTGCTTCACCAGGGCCACCAGCTCCACGAAGAAAGGGTAAGGGAGACGAAAGCTCTCGCGGAAGCGGCGAGCAGGCCTGCTCGTGGGGTCGACAATTCCATCCACCTCGAGATCCTTGAGCTCCTGCAGCTGAATCGCCCAGCCAGAGATATTGTAATCCTTACGAGGGTATACGCGTCGCCTCTTGATCTCACGGTTGTCCTCCTCCTCTTCTTCGGAGTCGGGATCGAGCTCATCTAGATCGTCGAGTACAAGATCCCATGCCACGAGCGTGCGCTGCTGCTGTTGATTGAAAGCCGCCAACGCGACGCTGAACGCAGCAGGCACGTTGACGGCACCCGTTTCTGACGATGACATGGTGCCCACACGGACCCAGGCTACCACCAACAACAGGCCCAGTAGCAGCATGCGAGGGAGTTTGCGCGGTGCACGCGAGACACAGGACAGCAGCTGTGTACTCGCTGCTGTGCTGCTGTGGATGGTGAACGCGGTCTAGTTGCTGCGCTGTTGTTGTGCATATGTGCGGTGCCCCCGGTGTGCATTTCCAAACGCAAAAAACCGATCGCGTCCACGTTCGGAAATGCTCATCATTTCCAAACGCATGGCCGGTTGGAAACGTGAAATCGAAAATGTTCAGGCGGAAAAGTGTCATTTCCGATCTTATAAGAAACAGTTTTGGTCCGAATTTGGAAATCCACATTTTTGAACTGCATTTCCGAACGTTATAAGAAACCGCCTTACTCCGAGAAGTTAAATCTCTGTCCTCCGCCCGTCGCATAACATTTTCATTTGTTCATTGATTTTGTGCGTCTCTGGTCTTTGAACAAATAAACAACTTTTTCTTTTTTCCTCTTCGCAGCATATCTTCTTTTATGAATATCTCTCATTTCAAAACTCAACCCGCACACACTTGCTATCGCCATTCAAACTACGAGCGTAGCGGCGACCGCGAAGCGGTACGCTGCGAAGCGCCCTTTAGATACATACACACTGCTGTGGCCGTACAAGGACGGCGCAGAAGAAGCCATTGGGGTGTGGCGGAAATGCAGCAGAGTGACAGAGTGACGCAAACGATGCATGGTGCATGAAGGGCCACAATGCGCATTACGATGTTTGCTACAGTAACACGCGCCGAATGCGCCGCACGAACTTTTCAGCAGGAAACCTTGACCAACCAGATGCCGAGCGGTCTTATGCTACCCTTTTTCGTACTGCAGCCGCAGCAAACATTAACTTTCAAAGTTGCGCGATATTTCGCATATTTGACAATCCGCATTTCGCAAAAAATTGCTGTTCTGTCAGCAACTTTGGCGCCATGAATCCACATCGTGTTGCCGGATACTGGCAGAATTCACTGCTTTACATTTAGTGCCTGTTTCCTCTTCGTTGAAATCTAAAACTCTCCAGCACGTGGTCTCTGCGTTTCTATGCATAAACATTTACAGGTACGAAAATGAAACAACATGAAACTGGAATTCGTATGTACGAATAGAAGCCACTACCTTGGAGGACACCGTCTTCTTCTGAATCTAGAATCCAGAATCAAAACATGCTGTTGTTGTTATAATGGACTGGCATCATCTTTGGTGGGTCGTGCACTTCATTCCTCCCAGTCCTGTAAATAATCCATGTGCTCGAAACTTCGGAAATCACGTCATCGGCCAGCGTTGACTTTCATCAGTTCCGGAAAAGAGCCAGGTGAGATAGGTGGCATTCATCGTCGTCCCTGACGTAAAGCCTGCTTTCTAGACTAAAAATACGCTATCCTGACGTATGGGCGCATCTTCTGCTGCAAATTGGCTCTGTGCCGCGCGGGTGGTGCGCGCAGCACTCGCGTTGGTGCAACAGCAGCGTCCCTCCTCTCTCAGAGAGCAAATTACCAAAACAGCAGACAGCCATGCTTACGGACCGACGAAGAGCTCGATCAAGCAAGGAATAATTAAGTAGGACAGATTAGAGCACATGGTTGTAGTGGTTGGGTTGTCGCGGGGGGCTAAGTAATACCCGCCGTTGCCTCTTCCGTGTTTCGCGCCAACGCATGTAGGCACCTCGCCCCATGCGCGTTCGCGGGATATACGATATTTGCCCGTGCGCATATGTATACCCGAAATGATTCAATCGTAGACGACCAAGGCTCGATGGGTTGGGGCCAAGAGCCAGAATGTCCCCCATTTTCGTAGTCTCGGTGTGTGTGTGGATAGGGTCTCCCCGTGTCTCCCACAGAGGTTGAACATTCTCCGTTGGGTGCGAGGTGTACTGTATCCACTTCTCTGGAACATGTGCAACGTACTCGTGCGGGTGGAGACGTCAATGGATGGTGGTCGTGTGGTATCAGAACAAGTCTACGCCATCACACTTCACACTTCAACAGGTTCGGGAGACGAAATGTCAAGCGGAGGTACAAAATTTCATACTTCCCTACCATTTACAGGCCACGACTACGTCTTGCTCGCGCGCGGAGCGTTTCGATGTCAAAGAAGTGGCCGTGGCGAGCGGTAAATGCGCACAGGGCACAGCATCATGTCCATCACTGTTGGGTACGTTCTTCAAGCGCTTACCTTTGTGGGCAGCCTTATGGAGCTCCGTGTCCAGCGGCATCGATCACGTCGCAGCTTGCCAGGAGCAGGCAGGCTCTTTCGAGGGGAGCCGATCACCGACACGCTCTCGGGGGGCGAGATGTGGTACCCGGCGCGCTGCAGTCCCCTACAACTGCAGCCTCCTGACCCCCGCCGTACAAAACCGTGCCTCTTTCACCCTGCTATGACTGCTGCTGTGTGCTCTGGACAGACAGAGAGTAAAAAAGACATGCTGATACACCCGAAACAGCCCAGTAGAGCAAGTGCACGGGGTCCTACCCCACGCCTGGCATGTGGTACCTAATGTATTTCATCTGTGTGCCCCCTCGCTCTCTGTCTCTATGCCCAACACTTGCTGGCACGCTCGCCACTCTGTGCCTTGCAGCCTGTGGGTGTCATCGAGGATAATCCTTGGAGTACCTCGAACAACCTGCCGTCTTGTCGCAACGGCGGCGGCTACGGGCATGGAGATAAACATGGATGCGGCTGCTATTGAACAGATGGGCAGCGGAACGCAGAGCGATGACGATGACATGATGTCGTCCGGTGGTGGTGGAGGGATCGAGGGCGACAACACCGCTGCCTGGGATGGAGGAGAAGGACATGATTTCGGAGACGAAGGTACCATAACAGCTCCACGCTAAGCTGTAAGCTACGAAATTCTTGTGGGTGGCGAGCGATGCCGTTGTGTGTCGTGAGCGGGACTCGCTCCGGTTGCTGCCTATTGTCGACACCGGCTTTATTTTTCGCGGCCCAGAGCCGCCGTCTCCATCACGATCCTCACCGATGCTCCGGAGGGAGAGAGGGAGAGAGGGAGAGCAGCAGTACAGCCAAACAAACGTAGAGACGCTGTGGTTTCGGATGTCGCCTAAATTATGATGATGTGGGTATAAAACCGGCTATGGCGTAGGGTTTGTGTGTATTGTGCAGCAGTTATGCGTGAGGGAAAACACTAATAACACATTTCACAGCCCCGCCGTGTCCGGGCGGACAAACTCGTATTCTCATGCATTGGTGGCGATTAAACACACCGCCAGGTAACGCCATTCTCGCTCTGGCATCCGGAGGAGGAGCGCAACCTCTGCGCACCGGCACACTTTCCTCACAGCCTGGGCACTGATGCCACTGAATCGACGTTTTGCTCTCCGGTCTACGATCATACGGACGTGGAAATGTAAATATTGTCGTTCCTGGTGCGAGAACAACCACGATCGTCCCTGCGCCTTGTAACGGCGCTGCCATTCTGAACCAATCAACCATTTGCGTTAAACGTTGCCTTGCGGAACAGACGAGGAGCACGGTACCGCAGGCAACGGCAGACGAGGGGGCAACGCTGACGGCGGCGAAGGCGATGGGGCACCCCCGCAGAAGAGGGCGCGGGACGCCAAGTACGCGATCCCCACCATGGAGGAGGCGTCCCTGTTGAGGGAGACAGAGGGGAAGCTGTTCGAGGGCAACCTCTTGAGGCTGGAGGTGGAGGAGCTGCTAGGAGAGGTCAGGCTGGATCACGGCAAGAAGAGCGTCAAGGCGTTGGAGGTGAGGGAGGCGATTGGGTTGTAGTACAGTAGGGGGCCCTCTATAGTGCCGGTATGTGTTCAGAGAGCAAAGCGGCACTATACCGGGCACCGGCACTATTCAGAGTACAGAAAGACTTGATATTCCGGTGTGTGCGAGCCGAAAACACCGGCACTATACCGGCAACCGGCACTATTCAACCGGCACTATATCGGGCCACCCACTGTGTGTCGCACAACGGAAGTGCTTTGTCCGCCTTCCATGCGGTCGTCGTCCAGAGGCTGTGGACTGAGTTGCTGATGTCGGGACAAACATCCCCGCGTCGCGCTGCTTGTTTGCCCCAGAGGTCTATTTGCCAAGCAGCGATTGCTCTGGAAGAACCCGTACGGGTGCGGTGTGTTTTTTTTTATTATTAGCATCGACCGCACTAACCGGCTGACCAATGAAAAAACGTCAGTCTCAGTGCGGGTGAAAACCAAGAAAACTTGTAAATGCTTTTGACTGGGACCCCGTGAGGGGGCGGCATGGGGGAGACTAACCTAATCTCCGGATCAAAGAAAGAAAGCGTGTGTGTGTGTTGTTCCTCCTGGCATTGTGTACACCCAATTCTTGATCTATGCCTGCTCTTGCTTCGCTAAACGCCAGAAATGGCTCCACGTGCTGAAGGACACTCTGGAAGACCTACCACCTGCCACGGTGACGGAGGAGTCGCTAGGGCTGGCGGGCATTCGGCTCGCCAACCACGTCCCTGGAAAGCCCGTAACGCTGGAATTCCAGCCCCCCGAGGTATTCATGCCAACGTCTTGTTTATTCAATAGGTTCCATTTCTGTGCAACAGGGTGGGTAGCAAATAAGGGTTAGGGTTTAGGATGTTACTCATACAGTTTCCTGGGTTATATGTTTCTCAATGTTTGCGGTCAAGGCACGCAGATAGCTGTACCTCGTGATGGACACACTGGTCCGCAGCCCGTTTGCTCTTTTCGTTCCCTGACCCGACAGACGCACAGTTTCAGAACCACGCAACCAATACCACCCACCTTGTGCCGGTCGGCCATAACGTTGACATGGTACATTCCGCGACCACGACGACGATTTGCCATGGCGTGGCGTGACATGGCACCGTGCAGGCGAATGGCTTCGACGTCGCCGGGAGTTTCTTGCTCCGTTCTCTGGCCAAGCCGAGCTTAAACGTCGACCTAGCTCTGCGCATGCCTTCGGAGTGCATCGTGTCGAGAGACTCGTTGAACCACCGGTACTTGGACAAGAGGGCTCTTTACGCAGGACACCTTGCGAAGACGGCGATGGACGCTGCCGGGGCGTTGGGCAAGCTAGTCGACAAAGTGGAGGTAGAGCATGAGGACGTAGGCGAGGGCGAGAGGAATTGTACGAGCTGTTCTACGACGATGATGCCACGTTGTTTCTATCGGGGTAGAGAGGAATGGGAAAACCGACAGCTCTACTTAGCTTCGAGCTCTGCGCGCGGCCGTGACCATGCGTTTTGTCTTGCTGCTTCGGCACACTTGCCGTCGAGCCTGGAGGTATCCTGGCCAGAGAGCACAGCCGGGCTTCGACAAATCAAATCATGCGGAACGCGCCTAGAGCGTTGTCGACTTTGCAGCTTTCGAATTATTGATCTGCGCTCCCGTGCCTCCGCAACACACGTTGTGGGTAGCCTATCTCTTAAGTTGTAATGGCCACGACCCCCTGTCTCTCTCCTCTGAAGTCGACCACCCTCCCTTTGGTACTCTCGTGTTGCTGACTTGCGACGTAGCTGTCGTACTTGAAGGGAGACCCTAGGAAGCCGGTTGTGCTGCTGTACCCTTGTCTGAGCGTGTCGAAGAAGGGCAGTAAGAGCAGGGTCAAGTCAAAGGTCAAGGCGGGCACGGGGTTTGTGGTCCGGCTGTTGCCGTGCTGCGCGCGGAACGCCATGGCGCCTGCTAGGCTTTCTCCCGGAAGGAACAACGTCAGGACGAGGTCAGATAATTATGCTCTGCAGAACCGTATGTGTGTGTCTTGCAGCACGTGTGTGGGGGTGTTTGGTGTGTACATTCACGACCTCGAAAAAAAATGGTTCTTGTTTGCTTCCTGACTCCATGGGGGGTGTGTTGGTTGGGGATGCAAGCAGGTCGTGTTGCATCGAGCAGAGCACGGGCAGGCGCAACATCGTGTTGGCATCCAAATTCAACAAGGTGGTTGTTTTTTTTCGTTTTGTGTTGGCGATGGTTTCACGCGGGTCCTGAAGAGTGTGCGGACTTCGTTCCGTAGACGGCGGCCTCAAATATGTGATGGTGACACAGCAGTCACCTTTACGTCTGTCGCCGACGCTGCCTGTGTGCTTGCAGGGCGGCACTCGCAGAACTCGCGAGCATGGAAGGCGGAGACGCAGTAGGAGGCGGGGGGGGGGAAGAGCTAGTGTCCTCCCTGTCTGCGACGCCGCACTACAATAGCGCCATCCTGGAGGACATGTGCATGACGGAGCACCTCGCCGCGCTGCACGGCATCTGCGGGGACTCTAAGGCGTTTCGCGATGCCATAATTCTCGGAAAGGTAGAGATCACCACTACACTGCGCTGCACCACTCTACACTACAGCACACTGCATTCCAATACAACAGTAGTGGGGGGGGGGGCGGTTCAGTGACCCCTGTTTAACGACCTGCCCTGTATGGCGACCATTCAGAGAAAACTGTGGCACCACTGCGCTCCGACTAGTAGTCCCTATACCGGCAATAGCGACCTGCCCTGAACAGCGACCATATTCCCTCCTGGCACAACAGCGACTACATCTTAAGGGTCGCTAAACCGTACCTACCACTCTACGTGCGATTAGGTTACAGCAGTTTCTCGTTCTCTCCTGGCAGGTGGCGAAAAGGGGTGCCTGACACTGTTATTCATGAATAGGTTTCGACTGATTTTCCCATTTTGTTTTTGACGACGGTCAGGTTTTTCTTGGACAATTTCGCACAATCACAAACCCCGCTGTTGCAGTGGAATGCGTGCATGGATTGTGTTCTTTCTCCCCTTGGTGCCGGCGAGCCCATGCCGCATGCGTGATAGTGGTGGTGATGGTGTTTGAGCTGTGGTACGATGGGCCGTTCCCGTACTTACTGTGCTTCACCAGATCCGTCTCTTTGGCGAACGAACAGGTGTGGCTCGGCCAGCACGGCATGAGGACGTCCCACGACTCCATGGGCAGCTACGAGTGGTCCATGCTGCTGCTGCACCTCTCGCAGACAAGGAGAGTGAACGCGCGAATGGCCGCCTTGAGCATGTTTCAGGTGGTGCTCAAGTTCATCGCTGACGGCGGGCTGTCAAGGTCAGACGAGAGCAGACACGCAAGAGCGATAACACGACAGACACGGCGGTACGATGCTGCTGTGCAACACGCCTACTTGATATTTGTCGCTGTCGGCGCACATTGCACCCAAAACACGCCTCTTAGAGGGCGATGTTCGGCAACACCCAAGTGTTTTCCTCCCTTACCGTTATTGTTGGGGGGAATTACGATGACGGAGAGACAGAGCGTGGGGGCTGACCCGTGATGCGGCTGTGTGGTGTGTCCGGCGGCGCATGTTTCTCTGTTTACCACACCAATGCAGATCTGACCCGTTTATTATTGTGGGACAAATAATCGATAGACCCGTCCTTTGTCTCAGAAAATGTGACAAGCTCTTGTTTATGCCCCCCACCCAATGCGATTTCATGAGTACACTCCCCTTCGCCGCTGATCATCACACCTCATCTTGCTGCCTTGTCGTGCCCTTGCCATTGCCTTTGTTGGCAGCAAGTGTCTCACGGTGGACGTGTCGACCGGCGGACCCGACGAGCAATCGCATAAACGAGGATTGACTCTGGAGGAAGAGAAGACTTTCAAGGACGCCTTCGCTGCCGTCATGGTCGACACCTCGCTTGGCTTCAACGTGTTCGGTGCGTGGAAGCGGCCAGCACCCCTGTGTCGTTGTCGGTATCGAGAGGCTTGGTTGATGCCAGCACGTATCGTTGTAGTCGTTGCGTTTTTGTGTTGGGCGAGCAGCGCACATGTGGGGGAGGTCAGTGCTGCGCTCTTCGCATGCAATACATTCGAAGACGCTGTTCGTTGTGTACTGTGTGTTGTGTTGGATACCACTGGGGCTGCTTCTGCACGTGACGCCGACTTGCTTGCAAGTACTTTGTAAGACGTTCCATGACTCCTTGTTCCGGTTGACTCTTCAGCTCCGTAACTGCTGTCGAAGCGCATGTTCACTCACGCGCGATGCACACGTCTTTTTTTTTATCGGTCTCCGCGCTGTTGCCGTGTCTCGTGCGGCGATGGTGTATAGCGTTCTGTTTTTGATCTGATGCTTTCCGTCGTCTCTTTTCACATCAGACCGTCCTCGACCCCCCACCCATCCTCTCGAGGAAGCGTGGCCAATGGTCTAACAACTATGGTATGAAAAACATGAGGACGCTCCCGTCCCGCCCCCCACCCCCCACCCTAGTTTCTCGCTAAAAAACGCCTCCTTTGCATTTGCAGCGCGATTGAGCTCGTCAGCTGTTGCGGAGTTGGAGATGACCGCCAAGGCGTCGATTGCTGTGCTCCAGGGCAGACCGGGGGCCGCGTTCCGGCGACTTCTGATGACGCGCACCACCCTGTGGAGGAAGTGTGACGCGTTTGTGCAGGTGAGCCATTAGGAAACAGAGACAGAGACAGAAACAGACACACACACACACACACAGAGAGAGAGAGAGAGAGAGAGAGAGAGAGAGAGAGAGAGACGTACAGAGACAGAGACAGAGACAGGCATTGTCTTGGCGATGTCCTCTGTAGTGGAGCGTGCGGAGGGTCGATTCTTTGTTTCTATCGCGACATTCCGGCTTCCACAGCTATAGCTGGTGTTTTGATCGGCGGCACTCGTTGTTTGCCTGGGTGTGGCGGCGCTCCCTCCCCGTTCAACTGTTGAACTGAGTCATTTTGTTGTCCTCCCGCCACTTGGCACGAGTGATGGGGTTTTTGTTTCGTCGGACAATCGTCGGCGTTTATCGTGTGTCACCACTACCATCACCACCGCCTCCATCGTCAACAACCGTCCTCATCACTTTTATGACAGGAGCCATCACCTTAATGATATCTACGACGCTTTCAAGCAACAGACCAGTCTCGAAACGTGTGCCCCCTCTTGTGCATCATTGTACTTTAGGGTGGTGTGTGTTTGTTTGCGACCGGTTCGTCGCGTGTTCCTTTACGTAGCACTGTCCACTCTCGTTGTTGCTAGCTCCCGCTCCTCCGCCATGTCATCATTTTCCATGGCAACGCATGCCCTTGCTGTCGCCCCCCCCCCCCCCAAGTCCCTGCTTCATTCATGCAAGAGGCCATGGCAAGAGTTCTCACCCCCTCTCCTGCATGCCGAAACAACCGTCCAGGTTCCGCTTGTCTCAGCCAATGCCGACAACGGGAAGCGATGGAAAGAGGCAGAGGCCACAGGCACCGACATGGAGAAGCTAAGAGAGCAGGAAGAAGAGGGATTGCTTGACAAGCCGCTGTGGCGCCACGTGTCTGACAGGGTTACGGGTATCTTGAGGGAGGGGCTCGGGGACCGGTGTGTGTTGGCGAGGCCCCTGTGCGGGGTGGCTGGGGAAGCGGCTCACGACTTTCAAGGTGAGAAAACAGACCAAATAAAACCGTGTTCTTCTTTTGGCGTTGTCATCGTCTTTCAACTTCCGACTCCTCGTTGTCCCGTGTGTCGTGCTTTTCTATGTAATAGGGGCAATTTTTTCGCGTGAGGGTGAGCGTGTGGACGGGTTGTAGATAAAGTGTGTTGTGTTTTGCGAGGGTTAACTGGCGATCACCTTGAGCCTATCGTGTGCTTATTTCTTGTGATCTTTGTCTTGCTTCGGATAGCTTAGCCAGCTGGATTGTCTTCACACGTGCGCCGTTGCTGCCGAGCCACACAATGGGCGCTCCGTAGTTCGAGCAGCACAGTATACAGTAGGTGTCCCGATTTTTGCCGGTATGTGTCCAGGCGATTTGACCGGCACTATACCGGGCACCGGTACTATTCAGGGCCCGAAAATCCTTCTATAGTACCGGCTTGGCACTATTCAGGACTGTTCGACTTCATTCACTCTGAGTGCAGCGCGTGTACTTTGCGGGGCTGACAGAGTACCAAACGAACGGTATTTGGATCAATCGTGAGGTGGGCGACGTGGGCGGGCTTCATTAAGTTTCGTGAGGGTCTTGGACTGTCGAAAAACACGGCATTGGTTACATTAAAGATAACTTGATTGACCAGATAGATTTGTTGCACAGCAGTTTAGCAGCCACACTCCTCAACAGGTAGTTGTTCTTTTCCCACCTCAGCGCAAGCACTCGCTAGTGAAACTTTGCTGCTGACTTTCAACCGTAGACTGTGCTGCCCGATAAAAGTTCACCTCGCTATCAAATCATTATGTTTGTATTGCAAGAAGGCGGTAGCACTATTATTCTTCAGGCAACCTCAAAGGTACCCCGGGCAGCGAAAGAAAGACGCCCATGCATGCACCCAATGTACATTTGGAGGTACAACATGGATGGATGTAGTGCTCCTTACATGAGCACACAAAAAAAGCAGATGAAACCTAAAAAAGGGGCGAAGAAGGTAACGAACTCCCCTGTTCCTTCGATAAAAGTTAGAGAGAAGACCAAGCCTTCAGAAGCAAGAAAAACGACTGGCCAACCTAAAGACGTCGTCAGTGTCAGTGCGGTCCAAAACAGAAAATATTTGTTTGTCAAGGAAGTGAGAGGGTGTCATGCAGGAGGCTGAGCTATTCTCTGGATAAAAGATAGAAGAAATGGTAGCAACCGAGAGAGGAGAACTACGTGACTGCCAAGGCTTACTACTTTTGAGCACGCGTTNTGCTCCTTACATGAGCACACAAAAAAAGCAGATGAAACCTAAAAAAGGGGCGAAGAAGGTAACGAACTCCCCTGTTCCTTCGATAAAAGTTAGAGAGAAGACCAAGCCTTCAGAAGCAAGAAAAACGACTGGCCAACCTAAAGACGTCGTCAGTGTCAGTGCGGTCCAAAACAGAAAATATTTGTTTGTCAAGGAAGTGAGAGGGTGTCATGCAGGAGGCTGAGCTATTCTCTGGATAAAAGATAGAAGAAATGGTAGCAACCGAGAGAGGAGAACTACGTGACTGCCAAGGCTTACTACTTTTGAGCACGCGTTTGTTCGGAGTGTTTTCATCCTTCCTTCTTAGCAGTATAACCTTATTTACCACCACCACTATTACATTCTTCACTGCCATCTTTCCACTATTTTTCGGGCGTTCATCTCTGGATTCTGCGCTCGTGCGGCGTTTATTGTGAGGCAGGTCATTTCGCTCGAAACTCTTGTTGTTCCCCTCAACGCCATACTTTCCTCCTGCATCATCACTGCTATCCTTGGGCTATATTTTCCATATCCTTCGTCACTACCACCATCTTCCTTTTCGCTCGCCTCCCTACTGAAATCCCAGCCTATTAATTGGTCGAACCTAGTCGATCGGTAAAGCGTGACATTTGAAGACGTCACGCGTACCGAGAGAACCCGAGCTATACTTGTAGCTCGAAGGGAAACCGTCTCCGAATTCTGTTGGCGTGGAAGGCTTGAGGCGAAAAAAGGCTGTGTGGGGGGTGTGAACCGGCACTATTGAGGGGTTCGATAGTGCCTGAACCGGCACTATAGCGGACAGCCCTCAATAGTGCCGGTTTGGCACTATTCAGGCCTGTGTGTCAAGAAAAATTTCCGGCACTATACCGGACTTTGGCACTATTCAACCGGCACTAAATCGGGACACCAACTGTAGCTGTTTTTGCTGTGGCACCTCGCCTTTCTTGTTTCGTATCAGGTGGACCGGTACAGATGTTGTAGAGGTACTGAGCAGAGAATTGAACGGTTCTTAACATGGACAGCAACAACAACAAGAACAACAATACCCCCACGGCATGACCAGCTCGTCCGCTCCGACCTGTTTGTTTCCCCCCGAAGGCATACCGGGCCCACGGGGATGGCACCCACGCAACCCCCCCCCGGCGGGTGTTGGAGGCGGGTCGGGAGAGGGGAAGCGAAAGACCCTTCCCCTGTTGACGGTGGGTCTAATCGTCAACCCTACGTTTGCCGGGCGACTGGTCGACAAGGGTCCACCAGCCGAAGATGGCCCTGCAGCGAGGAAGTTCCGCGACTTTTGGGGAAGCAAGAGCGAGCTCAGGAGGTGAGCTGGGGGGCGCGGCTTTTTTGTTTTTGGCGTCGGCGATGGATTTATTTATTTCGTGTGTCTTGTGGGTTTTGGAAAATACGTTTATAATCACAGAAATAACACTCGTTTTAGAAAATACCAACAGTCCAAGGGGATGTGTTCCAAGTCTTTGCAGCGAGGGGACCAGGATTTGTCGCCACGTAACGCTACATTTATTTTGTCTTCGTTTGCTTGGTGAGGTGTCATGTTGTTACCTTTGGCGAAGTGTTTTTACGTGTGAACGCTGGAGATGAGAAACACGGTTGCATAGATGATGTCATGCCCAAGAGGCGGGGCGGAAGCCCATGAGCCGAGAGGTTTGTTGTGGGATACCGTATCACTGCCCCGGCCTACTCGTATAGTCATGGTACCGTGGTATGCATACGTTCCGGTCTTGTTGGCCTCGCATTGCTTAAGAGGTATACAAAATTGTTAGCGATTGCGATCGGTTCTTGTATGTGCGCAGAGTCCCAACTGCTGTCAGTCACGTCAGCCACACCCTGTCACCCACACCCGCATGCTAGCTACCATGCTGCCCTCCCTGTCCTCATGCTCGATTCTGTGCATCCGTCTCTCCGTACGTGGCGTGGACGCTCGCTGACCTGTCCTTCGATCGGTGTCATGTGTCATCTTCTCTTCTCGTGCATGCTCCCCTCTTGCCTCTTGCTGTTGGTGCTGCTGGTGCTGTTGGTGCTGCTGGTGCTGTTGGGCTGTTGGTGCTGTGCAGGTTTAAGGATGGAAGCATCGTGGAGGCGGTGGTGTGGAAGGGGAAGGGGGCTCAGAGACATCGCGTCGTCGAGCAGGTAACTGCAATCAACAGTAGGGCTTGATACATATATATATTTTTTTTTTGTTTCCTCCCAGGGTGACTTGCGTTTGTCCCTGCGCAGTCATTGATTGAATGAGGAACAAGTAAACGCTCACAGACATGGACTGCACCTCCTGACATGATTTGGGTCTTTGAGGTGGAGGTTTAGATGGGACTCAGCCCAAAGTTTACGAATGAAAGCCCAAGTATGTGCATACAGGTCGAATCTGTTTCCTTGCTACCTACAACTGTTGCTTCGGTACGTTGTACATACGGCATGTGGTCTATTTCTTGGTATAGCTGTGAAGCTTCTCCTCTGTCATTGCGCCTGAACGTGCCATATCATACCAGCCTGAGAATTTCGTGTCCAACCAGTCCAAAAAGTCTTACCTATGCACACACAGGCCAGCGCTGTTCGCCCGATAGTGGCCCCGGCTAATACGCCAAACATTTTGTTCCAAAAGGTAGTTGTGTAGACTGGCGCCATTTAGTAGGTGGGAAGAACCCGCACACATTGTGTTGTGCTTCAACGCTCGCCCGATGCCCTCTCTGCTCGTCTTTCGCTACGTGAGCAGGTGGTGCGCCATGTGCTAGGACGCCACGATCCTCTGAGGTGTGCCGACTCTTCTTCCGCCAAGCAGCGTGATGACCATGCGGTTCGCTTCAGGGGGAACGAGCTGTTGGGCTTGGTGACCGTCGGCGGTACTGAGGTACGTTGGGTGCGATGGGTGCGATGGGTGCGATGGGGAACAACAAGAACAGCAGCAAACAGCAACAGAGTGAGGGACTGCTGTGAAACATGGTATCAAGGAGTGCCTCTACTGCTGTAGCTCACGATGTCAGCAGCAGCAACAGGGCGGCTGCAACTTTCCGTGACTCACAACAACAAACAAAATCATTGAGAGAGAGTGACGGCGAAGCCAAACAAAGATTATTTTCATAGCTCGTGTGGAACGTCGATCGCCCGTCTGTGCCTGGTTATCAACCCACAGTCGTGGTTATTTATATTGTAAGAGCGTGGTGTTGCAAAGGCCCTCCACCCTCTTAAATCGGAGCCCCCTCTTGTACCGCAATAGGGGAGTGGTCCGACATACTAAATCGGGTCGAGTCCGTGACGACCGATTTGGACCCTCTTATATCAGTGCCCCCCATTGTAAAGGTAGATACCCTCCCTCTCACATCGGAGCCATGACTGCCTGCCGCCTTGACGACAAGCACGACAAGGACAAGAAAATCAGCGCTTTGCTGGTGGGTGGGATGCTTTGGAAGATGGAGGCGTGCCACGTCCGGTTGTGGTCGCACGACTGGGTGCTGTGGATGCACGTCGTACGTGTTGATTTGGCACCGATGTGACGACAACCGCTGAACAAGATTCGCCGAATTCTCTCTGGTTCAAACGGGCCCGAAAAATCATTATTTTCTTGTTTTGATATCCATGTGTGGACGTGTGCTCGTGTGCGTGTGTATGTGTTGGTCCCATCTGTTCTGGCGCCACTCTGCACACTTGCCGGCTTATGTACATTTCTGACGGTACCAGTTGGGGGCACAATGTTTTTTTTACGTTGTTCGTGTGTATACGTGTGTGTGTTGTGTGCCAGGCGGGTTCGGCTGAGGACGACGACCTTACCCGGTCCGCAATCAAGGCGTTGCAGGTTCTGCAGGAGAGGGCTAAGGCTGCCGAGGGCATGCCGCTCAAGTAAGTGCACATGTGCACATACATATATTATTTCATGATGATCCGTGCCACCACCTCCTTAGAAAGAAGTATGAGAAAGCCACCAGACGCGTATCACTCGTGAGAGGGTGGGGTTGCTGATCTAGATTGTCGGAGTCAAGCTTGACACCTCCAAACCCTTGTCATCTCCTGCTTTTGTGTGGTATGCGGTCTGTATCGTATGCCTGGCGTGTTTGTGACAGTGGTGCACTCGCCGCCCAGATATGTTAACACGCGGTCGCCCCTGGCAACAATTCTTACCATTGGTTCAGGGTGGAGGCCCTGCAGGCGGCATCTCCGCTGTTGAGGTACACCTCGCTCCTGCCCCCGGCGCCGCACCCACTGGCCAATAGCCACGGGGAGTCCCCCGCTCCCCTCCCTTCCAAGGCCTCCAAGATATCCTCCCAGGTATGGTACTCCCCCGTCTTGTTTCGTCAGGCCACGTAGGAGACACCCCACACACCCGCGCGCTATTTAGCCGAGGAGGTCACGGCAGATCCCTTGTTGGGGCGGGTGAGAAGTCTTGTGTCTGCAGGCCGTCTCTTCCCGGTGCCCGAAACCGTTGTACTCATGAGTGTCTTACTACAGTAGTATCCTTCTTCTTCGCGCGAAAAGTTCCGGTTGGGGGGGGGTGCGGGGTTCCTTTTCTAGCCTTGGCTATCGACTTGTGACTTGGTACCCCCCCGCCCCCCTACCGCCTTACACCCCCACCTCCACACATCCGGACTTGTTTCCGTCGTTGGCACATACCGTCCTGGATATGTGATGGATTAGTTCATGTGGGCCTCCTCAAGTGAAGAGACGTCATTTGCAGACGGTGGATATGAGACTCAATTAACTCTCTGAAGGTGACGGCCGTTTGCACTTGGTTTGGTGTGCTGGGCTGTCCTGCCCTTTGTGATGTGATGCCATGGCACCTGCCTTGGTGGTGATGTTTGGCGCGTACCTCTCTGTTTTTGCGGCCCAGGTGGAGCCCATGGAGGTTCTGGTGCGGTTGGAGACCTCGAGCAAGTGGCCCGATGACCTCGACGCCGTTCGCAGTACTGGGACCGCGTTTCTCATTCGGCTGGCGCAGTGTCTAGAGAAAAAGGTGAGGTGAGGGCGAAAGAGAAGGGCCGTTCATTCCTGCGTTGGTGGTGCAGCAGTATGAGTGTTGGCTGGTTCCCGAGCTCATTGAATCCACGAGTATCTCCTCCGGCCCCGGGTGAAAAACGAAGCTGCGGCTTGTTTATCGTGGGTGGTGACTGGACATTCCGCGTTGAGTGGTGAAAGACGCACGATGTTTTTGACACGGAGAATATTGCCGAGCCAAGGGTATTGAGTAATCAACCCACTTGCATGCTACACAGCGTGTGTTACTTGTTTTCGAATCTGCGTGCCCCCCCCCCCC